GGTTACAAAATACACTTGTTAATTTTTTATATATTTTTTTTTATTTAATCATTTTTATGCTAATAACGATTTTCAGCAAACTTTTCGATTATTTCCTTCTGAATCATCTCGCGGTTTTCGGTAACGAGTTTTTAAAACTTCTTCGGACAAGTTCTTTCTCTTCCATAAATTGTACTAAAGAATGAGTTCACTTTCCATACCTAGATCATAGATCTGTTGAAAATGCTTCGATTTCTTTTGTACCTTTTCATTGGAACATTTAATCGAATACAATCGGTGTAATCTAGACAGCGAAAGCTGGAGTATTTTCATTGGAAAAGCGAAGTTGAAAACAGGCCGTTAGTGAATGCAGATACGGTATTATTATAGACCGTCGCCAGTACTAATTTTCATTGAAAGATGGGGTTACTTCAGTTTTTTTGTTTACCTGCCAAACATGGTAGAGAAATTTCTGCTCCTATATCGGCTGTAATCATACGAGATTTTTTAATTAGCTCCGTAGTGACTCCTTCTGCATTCTTTCGATCATTCTTAACCACCTCTAAAATATTTTCAATATGCTGATCAACTGCGATGAGGTCTATTGTCTTCATTTGCAAAATGTTTGTTGTAGGTTCCAGAAACATTGAATATTTAGCAATTGTCATTAAAGCAATGATGAACATCGGCCTTGTTATAGCAGCACACAATTGATACGCAGACTTTCTTGTGGAAAAGTTTGCCTGAATTGACAACTTTTCTAAAGCTTCCACAACTTCAAGACAATTTTCTGAAAATTTCCTGATAGCATTATATTTTTCCGACCATCTTGTTTCACACAAACGTGATATATCAGGAGCATAGTTCTTGCGTGTCATTGATTCGCGAAAAAAGTGTATCACATATTTTTGGGTAGAAATAGGACTTCTTATTTCTGGAACCTCGTTTAAGTCATTCACAATAAGATTTAACGGAAGAGGAAGTGTTTTTCTCGTTGGGTTTTCTGGTTGGGTTTTTTCCATCCTGTTTATCACAGAATGGTAAGAGAAACTTAAATGAGTGTTTCTTCCAATTCTGTACCAATTCAATGATTAACGCTGTGCTTACTTCATTGTAACAACGATGAAAAACGCAGACCTTATGTGGAAATTGAGGGTATAATAACGAATTCGATTACGCATACAATTTAGTATTTTTTTTT